TACTGATAACTTCGTAGTATAATACATGAAAATTTTCCTTTGAAAAGGCATACAGTACATAGACAAAATATAATCCATCAACATAACGGTTCTATGAGTAGTGTAGTCACTTAATCATAGAGTCGGTCCTACATAAAGTAGTACATAAAAAGAGACAGAGTCCTATCGATGGAGATGGTGGTACTCAGATGCTAAAATGATGCACCAAAAGTTCAGCCAATTCACTCATCTCCTGAGTGATCTCAGCTTCCCTTTGTTCAGCTTGAATTGCCCTAGGTTTGGATTCAAAGAGTTGTTGCCTGAGAATGGATACCTCCTCTTCTAAGGAGCATAGTCGGTCAGTGGAGACTTCCTATGCTATGTGCTGATTCAGAATTATTTCCGAAGCGTGGGGTCCGCTAAGAATTTCTCCAATTCCCTCCTCCTCATCTATCTCCTGATTAGATCTCTCATCCTCATACTCCATTTCTTGATTTTTTTTGTGTCCTGTCCCTAGGTCTCCCACTTGAACCACTTCTGGCCCTTTATCAATCCACCTGTGGGTCACTAGGGCCTGGTAGTAGATCTCACCTTGTTGAAACTCAACATGGTGCCTGCACGAGAATTGTAACACCGTAAACTTTCAAACATTTTTTTTTCATTTTTAAAACACATAAAACTCATATATTATATTTCATAAAACCACAAGTGTCTCAAATTTCAACATAAATCAACAAATAAAAGTCAAATCCCAGAATCCTCAACAAAGTCTCGAACACGTGTGTACAATCATGACGACGCCGTCCCGCGGTCTTGAGAAGTATCTGAAACACATATCACACAACACGGTAAGCACAAAGCTTAGTGAGCTCCACAAAATACCACATACACAAATAATAAGCCTCTCATGGCTATAACTCGGCATGGACCCTTCGGTCTCATGCGTCTCGGTGTTGACCCTCCGGTCTTACAGCTCGGTTTAGACCCCCTGGTCATGTGTCTCGGTGGAACCCTCCGATTCCACAACTCGGTTTGGACCCTACGGACCTATCTCAGTAAAACACATAATATAGTATATATATCACACAGACAAAATGCATAATATGATGTAACTTAAATAATATCACAACCTGAAATTTTTGTCCTATAAAGTCAAACACAGCAACCAAAGGTCAAATTTATGGGTTTCTAAGCCAAGTATAAGTCAGGGTTGTGTGTTAGGAAGCGAACCACCAAGGAAACGAGTTAGGAGTATTTCATTTGGGCCATAAACCTCGTCAAGTGAGGTTCATTTCCGCAAACCATGATCATGGCTGCAAACCATGATTATGTCTGCAAACCATGTTCACGGTCGTGAACCCTCCTTAGGCTGTGAACTCACCCTATATATATATATATATATATATATATATATATATATATATATATATATATATATATATATATATATATATATATGTGTGTGTGTGTGTGTGTGTTTGGGTCATTTATCCTTTGTTTCTTCTTTCTTTTCTGTGAACCACCCCATTCTCACTCAAGTATCATACTCAAAAACACCCTTTTCTTCCCTTAAACACTCCATTTGCTTTTCATCTCTTTGTTATACCACGAAAGGCCATCAAACATTCACCAATCAACAAGATCTTCAATTATTATTCACATCTTCTAGGACGGGAACCCTTCATAAGGACCGTGAACTCTTCAAAGCTTCATAAAGGTTGATGGGATGTCAAGCCCACCAAGCAAATTACACCCTTTGATTGCTAAATAAACATAATATAATGGTAATAAGGGGTATCGATGCTCGGGGAAATGGTTGTATTCAATCACCAATGCAATCTAATAGAACTAATGAAATTTAAACTAACTAACTACAATTAAACTAAACCCGCGGGGGGGGGGGGGGGGGGGTGTTTGATTACTTGAAAACTAAAATACTTGAATAACTAAAAACCTTGCAATTAAGCAAGTTGATGAGATGCTCAAAGGTTGAGAATAATTGGTTAACTAAGGCAATTCAACACAATGAACATATGTGTGTTTATCATTAGGATCTAATACAAACCATATCCTTCGTCCCGAATTGGTTATAGCAATCATGAAGCATGATATGCCAAGATTCCTCATAGGTAGTATTGAGGTTGGGGAAGCCCACAACACACCTTCTTAATTAAGATCAAGGGTCAATTGAAGTAATTAATCCCAAGAAATCAAGTAGCCTTAAGAATGAAGGATTCCCCAATTCCTAAAGGATGTCGAATGCTTACACATCCATAAAGGAGCTATGATTCATAAGCTAGAGATGATGTCTACCATCATAAAGCCTTTGTTCTAGATAAATTCAATGACCCAATGCAAAATCAATGAAACAAATCAACCATTGCTCAATCAAATACTAAGCTCATGATCAAAGCATCAAATAAGCATAAAAATTGCAAACTAGAATCATAAACATGGAATAAATTGATAATCAACATAAATCCTTCAAAACCCACAAACATTTATTGGTTATCATCCAAAGTCAATGAAATAAAAGTATTAGCCACTCATGGCAACAAAGTAACAAGAACAATAATCTAATTGCATAAAGAAACTACCTAAGATTTGGAAAGATGAAAGGAAATCATTTCTAGCTCCCAAAATCGCCTCTTGCAGGTCTCCAATGGTGGAAAATCATGAATGAGCCTCTAGATCTGATCTCCCAATGTTATGGCAAGCCAAATGACCAAAATGCCCAAATTGGGCAGTTGGACGGGTACCCGTGCGATAAAAATTCCACCAGCGCAAATGTTGTTGTAATGCTATTGGTCCTTAATACCACCACTCCACCCTTCCACTACCAAAGATTCCTTTGGTACCCCTACCCCCCCCCCCCTTGTCCATGTAATTTGAATCCATGAAACATCATTTAGCCACCAAATGGATGCTCCAAGCCCAAAATTAGAAATTTATGATCCATTTTGACAAGCCTAAATAATCCAAGCTAATAACTTTCAAAGCCCAATTCTTCTTCTTTGATTCCGCTAAGCCCAATAATGCCCCGAGAGCCCACTAAGCCCGTCTCCAATCAACCCGCAACCGCAACAAGCTCCAAAACCCTGGAAAATTCCTCATGCAACATAAAAAGTACCCGGTACAATCCATACTAAAGAAAAATAAATAATATACAATGCATTAATGATAAAAAGATCTAAAAATCTAAAATAAACTAATAAAAATAAGGAAATAAAATAAGATATCAAATCACCCCAAGATTAAACCTAACTTGTCCTCAAGTTAGAATAAGATTAAAAATGAGCTCGGCATGAACTATCTAAAGAGGAAAAAGAAAGATACCATAGAACTTGGTTAGCATCAGTCAACGTGGTCAGAATTAGTCCTTCAATGGACCCTATGCATCTTCAAAATGTTCCTCACTTTAGAGCCATAAACCACATTCTTAACCACTTGATGGGCGAATAGATCACGGCTGGATGCGGTCGCGGTGTGCAAGACAAAGGAAACAGAGATGCACCTAGTGGGGGAACTTTAAATCACCAATGTAGACCATAGTGCATGAAGGAAAGGTGCCTCTTCACACAATATGATTCCTACATTTTTCAGGACAAAGTGTATAATAATGAAATAGGGCTTTGCAACACGGCCTCTGGAAAAACATCCGGTTTCAAAGGCTTCTCCCTTGTACTGTCCTTTACAGTCTACCGTCTCATCGTCGGCGACTTTTCTCACCAAAAATAAAAAATAAAATAAAATAATAAAAATTCTACTTAACCTAAATCTAAACCTAACAACCTAAATCTTCATTCTTGAACTTTTTTTATTTGGATTTCAGGCTGTATTTTGCTTGATTTTTTTTAATCATATATATATAACATGAGTCTTGAACTTGGAATCTTGTTATTCTTTTTTTTATTGCTCTTTTTCTTCATTTTTCTTCTTTGCTTTTGTTTCTTTTCTTGAATCATCTTTTATAGGCTCTTATTCTCTTCACTTTTTCAAATTTCTTCATTCTTTGTGTTGCTTTTTGGAAGGTCTAAGGAATTTCACCAAGTAACATAGGACTCCAATAGTGAAAATTGAGTGATAGATAGAGGCTAACATGAACACCTAGTGATCACTGACAATGTGCCAAGATCAACTAAAAAATAGGGGTGGGATATGACTCAAAAATGGGTGTTACTGAAAAGACTTGGTCCCAAAAGATGTGAATTCTGGGACCTACTTCAAAGTTCATCAAGCACCTCAATGCAAGGTGTGATAAACAAAATCTATCTAACTATCTATTCTAGACTCCTAAAAAAAATAACCTATCTTAAAAAGGTGGTGAGAATCTAACTAAGCAAGGCTCGGACGAGAATCGGTAGTACTAAGGGTTACTCCCCCCAAAACCAAGATGCGAGTCTTCAATATTTTCAATGTCTTCAAAATACCTTACTTGGCTAGTGTTTGCTCGCACACATTGGCATGACCAACCACATCCCTCCGCACCTAGACCCAATCAAGCTACCTACATTTGACCCCCACACAAGCGGTCTTAAAATGGTCTGTGAGGCTCAAACCGTGTCCCACTTATCAAATACAAGGAATTCCATATCAAGACCCGGGATCTATCTATGATTCAATACTTATGACTTGGTGCTCTGGTACCTGTAGGGATGAGAAGACAAGAGAGAACAAAAATGCATGAACTTAAACTAGAATGCATCTAAAAAGTATGAAAAATTAGAAAAGAAAGAAACAAAATATGCAATATTTTTGAATTTTTTATGCAATTTTTATGAATGCCCTAAATGACTAACTCTAAATGCAACTATATACAACCTAAACGCAATAAAAATAAAAGATTAGATTACCTCACCCCAAGCTTAAAATAAAGCATTATCCTCAATGCTTAGGATGAGAGTAAGGAAGGATCATACCGGGATCAAGATGGATGAAGCCTTCGAGGGGGATAACCGCCCTCGGGCTGAAAATGATACCAAAGGTCCTCCATGTAAGTGTGGGTGCGTGCTTGTTGTTCCTCAATGCGTTGGATGGCTGCAGTGTTCCTGTTTCCCTGCAAGCTGGCTGTAAATATCGAGAGGAAACTCGTGTGCGGGGTTGGGCTCATTGTGTTGCTGGTATGAGTGATAATCATGTTGTGGTTGGAAGTGTTCTCCTGAGGGCTGAGAGTGTGACCCAAAGGCTTGACCTGGATAAGGTGATGGCAACTGGCGGATCAGGAGATCATAATGGTCTTTAGCCTCGAATGGTTTATCAGCATTGTCAGGGTCCACCTGCATGTCATCATCCGCTGCTGCATCATCATCGTCTGGCAACTCTTGAGGCAAGAACCATGTTTCGGGGTAATTGGTGGTGAAGGGAGAGATACTTGGATTGGGTAAGATGTAAATTGGGTCCTTGACATGGTTGAGCCAAGTGTAATGTCCAGGAAGAGTAGGATGAGGTAGCATTAATTCCATCCGGATGAGAATGATGCAATCGAGAAGGTAGAGAGGTGGATCATCCATTGCTACATATTCAGATTCTGGAAATTTAAGGCCCATACCCAAACCAATGAGGGTAATGAGACCTCCAATACAAATGCCACCAGTGGTCTTCGTCCTGAGGCTGTCACATTTTTCTAAAAAGAAGGTGGTGAAATCAGGTAAAGACCGATGTTGGCTCGACATGCAGTAGATAAAATACAACTCAACGGTGTTGATTTGTCCCAGCTCATGACGAGCAAAGATAGAAGTGGATATGATCCGGTGGGAAATTCTCCAACAAGGATGGATGATAAAGGGGTCTTTTTGGTGACTGGGATTGAACTTGGGAAGGCTCGTGATCTTGGTCCAAAAGTCTACTTTGGGCAAGCTTTTGAATTGAGTCCATTGGTAATGTCGGAGTTGTTGATGTCATATGTGCCCATGATCTTGTTGAGGTTTTTTTACTCGAGTCGTTGCTGCCGACCCTGGAGTTTGAAAGTGAGTACCCTCACCGTGTCATTGCGGGCATAGGTGGAGAGGAATTCGAGGGTGGGCTGCTTGTAGGTACGTGCAGAAAGATCGAGAAACTCGTGCCAACCAATGTTCAAAAATGGTTGTTGCAAGTGATTGTCAAGGCCGAGGTGCTCCATAGAATCTTGGTGGTAAAATTTTATGGCGCGGATTGCATGCTTTTGAAGGTTGGAATGACATGGTCGGTGGACATTTTCTTGGATGGCCCCAAGGATTGAGCTTCTTGAGAAGAACCATGAGATGCGTGAATGGTCTTGTTCCGTGCCATCGTACCTGTGAATAAACCTAGCAAAGACAAAAACTTGGATAAAATTATCCCTCACACTCGCCTCACACCAATCCAATCAAACCAAATACTTAAAACCGGGAAATATTCCAAATTGGCAATTTGGCACAATGTTATTCAATCCAATCAATTCAAGGCAAGCTAAGACTAATTCTATTTAACCTAATGCATAACACAAGTCTAGTAAAATTAGAAATTAAATGCAATAAATTAAAAGGAATTACTAACTTCATTTGTTGAAGTCCGAAAGAAATCCACAAAAATCCGCACCCCAAGCTTGAATTTTGGCCCACAAATTAAGTCTTTTGAATCTCCGGTGAGAAACAAAAAATTTTAAATTTTTGGTCAAAATTAGTGGCGGCGGCCGGCGGTGGAGCTTGGATTCCGGTGACGAGATTTTCCCGAATTAAAAGTAGATCGGTGTGTGGTGGAGTGTTTGGTTAATAATGCCCCAAGAAGTTTTGGAATTTGATGGGAGGTGGTGTTGGGTTTGGGTGTTGTTCGATTTTTCGGCGAGGTCGAGGATGGTGGCGGCCGACGACTATTTTGGGAGTTAAAAGGGGTAGGGTTTAGTCTGAATTAGGTGGGGAAGGTGGTGGTGGTGGAATGCCAGCGAAGGGAGCAACAGGGAGGTGACAGCGGTGAGGCGCGCTTTTCCGGCGAGGTCGAGGATGGTGGTGCCTGATGGCTGTAAAGGAGGAGATAGGAGGAGATCAGCGCTGACAGTGCAACAGGCGGAGAGGTTAGCGGTGGCGGCAGATGGATGCGGCAACTTTCGTCTATCGGAGAAGGAACGGGGGTGATGGTGGTTCGTTGTAGACGGGAGGCACAAGGGGGGGAAAGGGTGTCCGATGGGTTAAGGGGTTATAAGGGTGCGTTAGAAATGGGTCGAATAGCGAGTCTAAAGCGGCTGCTGGGTGGGTTATGGGTTTCATTTGTAGAAATGGGTGGGTAGTGTAAGATTGGTTGGCCGTGCGACGAGGAGTGAAAATTTTGTCTTAGTCACGCAAAGGGTTTGCGAGGGTAGGAGTCGGCCACGCGCAACAATCAGAGAGCACCGCATGTTGGTGGAATTTGGAACCCAGGACTTGCACGGCTGGGGCCGGCCGCGCAGAGGTTGCGCGGGTACCCGCGTAAAAGTCAAATTTTTGGAAATTTTCAAACTTCACCAAAATCACTGGAAGACTTCTATATGCTTATTTTTATGCTAACTTCAAGTGTAGAAACACCAAAAACTTCAAGAGGAGATTATTTATTCACAATGCATTTATTTAATGTCTTTGCCAAGACATAGCCTCGCCTCCGTCAATCTTCGTAATTCGGTTTTTCTAATGTTACTTTGTCGAATTTTCCCGTGTTGAAGCCTTCATAGAATGGTTTCAAGCGGAGCCCATTCACTTTGAATATTTGATTTGTGTCCAAACTCTTTATTTCAACCGCACCTTGATCAAACACTTTTATAACAATAAAAGGTCTGTGCCATCGAGATCACAACTTCCCCAAGAATAGCTTTAAGCGTGAATGATAAAGAAGAACTTTATGGCCCGGAATAAAATGCTTTCGAGTGATGTGCTTGTCATGAAACGCTTTTGTCTTATCTTTTTAGATGCTTGCTTTTTCGTAAGACTCGTTCCTCAACTCCTCGATTTATTGAAGTTGCATTTTTTGGTGCTTTCCACTTTCTTCAAGATTGAAATTGCACTTTTTAACCGCCCAATATGCCTTGTGTTCCAATTCCATCGGTAAATGACAAGACTTTCCATAGACAAGGTAGAATTGAGACATACCAATTGGAGTTTTGTAGGCGGTCCGATACGCCCATAAAGCATCTTCTAAATTCAAGCTCCAATCTTTTCGGGTAGTGTTGACGGTCTTTTCAAGAATTTGTTTGACTTTTCTATTTGACACTTTGGCTTGGCCATTTGTTTGTGGATGGTAAACGGTTGATATCCAGTGTGTGACACCATATCTCTTTGTCATTGCTTCCATCATTTTATTGCAGAAATGAGTGCCCCTATGACTCACCAAAGCTCTTGGTACACCATATCTTGCGAAAATGTTGGATTTCAAGAAGTCAATTATCATTTTAGAATCATCATGCCGTGTTGCCTTTGCTTCCACCCACTTCGAGACGTAATCAACTGCCAAAAGTATATAAGTATATCCCAAAGAAACGGGGAATGGGCCCATGAAATCTATTCCCCATACATCAAAGATCTCACAAATGAGGATGGGGTTTTGAGTCATTTCATTCTTCATGGATATTGTTCCAAGTCTTTGACATCTATCACAACTCTTGCCAAATAGATAAGTATCTCTTGACATTGTGGGCCAAAAGATTCCGCATTCGAGAACCTTTCACATGGTTTTGTTTTGACGAAAATGTCCTCCGCATGCATACTCATGGCAAAACTTCAAGATAGACTCCACCTCATTTTGGTGAACACACCTCCGTATTAGTTGATCCGGGCAATGTTTCCAAAGATAAGGGTCATCCCATACGTAGTATTTGGAATCACTCTTTAACTTGGCCTTTTGGTGCTTGCTAAATGAGTGGGGAATTTATTTCGTAACCAAGTAATTCACAATATCCACATACCATGGAATAGTGTTTGAAATGTAGAGAAGGTGTTCATCCAGGATTTCATCAAGGATGGGAGAAGAATAATCACCAATATTTAACCGATTTAAGTGATCCGCAACTAAGTATTCGACACCACTTTTGTATTTTATCTCAAGATCGAATTCTTGTAAGAGAAGAATCCACCGAATCAACCGTGACTTAGCATCTTTCTTGGTCATGAGGTATTTCAAGGCGACATGATCGGAGTACACAATTACTTTTGTCCCTAGAAGGTATTGCGGAATTTCTCCAATGTGAAGAAAATAGCTAGAAGTTCTTTCTCGGTGGTGGAATAGTTGGCTTGAGCATTATCCAAGGTTTTGGACGCATAGTAGATGACATGTGATGCTTTGCCCTCCTTTTGACCTAATACCGCTCCAATGGTGAAATTGCTCGCATCACACATGATTTCAAATGGAAGCTCCCAATTTAGAGGTTGGATTATAGGGGCGGAGGTGAGCAAGTCTTTTAGTTTGTCAAAGGCTTCTTGGCATGCAACATTGAAGTCAAGCTCAACATCCTTTTGAAGAAGGAGGCACATCAGTCGCGTGATCCTCGAGAAATCTTTGATAAATCTTCTATAGAATCCCGCATGGCCCAAGAAAGATCTCACTTCTCTAACACATGTTGGGTAAGGAAGGGTTTGGATGACATCAATTTTGGGTTTATCAACTTCAATGCCCTTTTGGAGAAGATTTGTCCCAAAATGATTCCTTGATTGACCATGAAATGACACTTTTCAAAGTTTAACACCAACTTTTTCTCAATGCACCTTTTCAAAATCTTTTTAAGGTTACCCAAGCATTCATCAAATGAATTGCCATACACGGTGAAATCATCCATGGACACTTCGATTATATTTCAACATACTCGGTGAAGATACTCACCATGCATCTTTGGAATGTGTCGGGGGCATTGCATAATCGAAATGGCATCTGCTTGTAGGCAAATATGTCAAAGGGGCATGTAAAAGTCGTTTTTTCTTGATCTTCGGGGGCAACGAGTATTTGGTGAAAACCCGAGTATCCATCAAGGAAACAATAATGCGATTTTGCCGCCAATCGCTCGAGCATTTGATCAATGAAAGGAAGAGGGAAGTGATGTTTCCGTGTGCTTGAATTCAACTTTCTATAATCAATGCATACCCTCCATCCATTTTGAACTCAAGTGGGTACCATTACGCCTTTGTTATTCTTAACAACCGTGATTCCCATTTTCTTGGGAACCATTTGCACCAGACTAACCCATTTGGAATCGGAAATTGGGTAAATCATATCCGCATCAAGTAACTTGATTATCTCCTTCTTGACAACTTCTATCATGGGAGGGTTTAATCGTCTTTGGGCTTCCCTCCTAGGCTTGCAATCATCTTCCATGAGTATCTTGTGAGTGCATACATTAGGACTTATCCTTTTGATGTCCACTATGGTCCACCCCATTGCCTCTTTATGCTCTTTCAAGACTTCAATCAATTGGTTTTTCTTCAAAGTCTTTCAATTGAGAAGAGATAATCACCGGTAGAGTCTCACCTTGACCTAGATAAAATATTTCAAATGGCTAGGTAAGACTTTCAATTCAAGTGTGGGTGGTTGGATTATGGAAGGTGGCATCTTGATTGGAGAATGAGATAAGGAAACTTGAGAAGCATCCTTCTTTGTGGAATTAGTAATTTCTAAAGTCTTCACAATATCTTCAACTTCGGAATCCAATGTATACAAATCCAAGGTATTCTTCAAACTTTCACCTTCAAGACTCATGTTAAGC